GATCCTGGAAGAGTAGACTACAATGCCTGCAGTTCTGACTCACAGTCTGTAAGTTACATTATATTAATAACACTATAAAAACATTATATTAATGAGTTTAAAAGAAATAATCCATTTAGATTTTTTTTTTTTTTAATTGGGCTTTTTTATGTGATATTTTATTTTATCACAATGGATTGTTATTTCTTTTAAACTCATTAATATGTTTTGTTCATATTGTCAGCAGAAACGCCCATGTTTTTATACACAAAATTGAATAAAACATTGGTGCCAAAAAGACGTAAGTGACTTTAAAAAAAAAAATTGTGCTTTTTTTATGTGATATTTTATTTTAAGTCACTTACGTCTTTTTGGCACCAGTGTTTTATTCAATTTTGTGTATAAAAACATGGGCGTTTCTGCTGACAATATGAACAAAACATTACATTAATGAGTTAAAAAAAAATAACAATCCATTGTGATAAAATAAAATATCGCATAAAAAAGCCCTTACATCAAATTAGTTAATTGAATGCGATTAATTTGACTGAAATAGTAATCTCAGGCACTTAACAATTTGGTCAAATGGTCGATTGAAAAGCCTTTACAGATGCCTTCCCTAGTGAAAAATAAATATACAAAAATGTATTTGAAATACATTTATTTCATGCTATTTATTTCATGCTATACTACAAATAAATTTACATATTATTTACATATCACTAAACTGGTATACTTAAAGTTTGCTAAATTGAAACAACTAATTTTGTACTTAATGCACTTTAATTGTAAGAAAGTAGTGCTGAAGTCTAACTAAAGATATACGGAAGTATATTTTATTGTGCTAAAGTGGAACTTTTGCAAGTATGCTTCAGGTACACTTTAAATATCATGCATTTAAAGACTGATATTATTCAAAGATCATACAATCCTCATCAATAGTGAGCTTACGCTTAATATTGAGAAATGTGCATTGTGCACAAGTAGTACTCCAAATAAAGTTTAATTATAACTTTTATGTCAGTAAGTATCGAGTGATATGTCAGTAAATAGACAATAAATAAAGTAAATAAAATGTTAATAGATTTGAACTAGTATGAATGTGTGTCATAAAGTACGTTTCAGATGGAATTGTAAATTGTACATGAAATAGTAGCCTACTCTGACTGGCTGACTTGTAAAGCTTGGTCGAAGTCCACATAAGACTGTGGGATACTGCCATTTGTGCAGAGTGAGTAAGTCTTTCTTTTTCACAGCAGTGATCCCAGGTATACATCTGTGTAATGTTTTACTCACTGCATTTCTTGTATCCTTTCCCCAGTCATCTCCTTTGTCTATGTCTGTCTGTCCCTTCTCTGCATTCTCGCTTACATTTATAGTAAAATAAAAGTAATATATTTAAAATACATTTATTTCATACTAAGTATAGTTCAACTCTATTAATATATTTACTGACATATTGCTCAAGACTTACTGATATGAAAAGTATAATTAAACTTTATTTGGACTACTACTTATGCACTATGCACATTTCTCAATATTAAGCCTAAAATGTGTTTTAATTTCACTATTTATGATGGTCTTTAAATGCAAGATATTTAAAGTGTACCTGAAGTATACTTGCAATAATTCCACTAATACTTCAGTGTATTTTTATTTGGACTTAAGCACTACTTCAGCACAAGTGCATTAAGCACAAAATTTAAAATTGTTCCAATTTAGCAGACTTTAAGTATACCAGATTAGTATACTAAAAGTACAATTGCAGGGTATTTTTATTAAGTACATAAATATGTAAATGATATTTAAAATACATTTATTTCATACTAAGTATAGTTCAACTCTATTAATATATTTACTGGCATATTGCTCAAGACTTACTGATATAAAAATTATAATTAAACTTTATTTGGAGTACTACTTGTGCACTATGCATATTTCTCAATATTAAGCCTAAAATGTGTTTTAATTTCACTATTTATGATGGTCTTTAAATGCAAGATATTTAAAGTGTACCTGAAGTATACTTGCAATAATTCCACTAATACTTCAGTGTATTTTTATTTGGACTTAAGCACTACTTCAGCACAAGTGCATTAAGCACAAAATTTAAAATTGTTCCAATTTAGCAGACTTTAAGTATACCAGATTAGTATACTAGTAGTACAATTGCAGGGTATTTTTATTAAGTACATAAATATGTAAATGTGTTTGTAGTATACTTAGCATGAAATAAATGTATTTCAAATACATTTTAGTATATTTATTTTTCACTTGGGACATACCATCAGAATGTAAGTTGTTGGTTACTACCCGCTAACTAGCTACACCTCACCATTCTGGATATTTAATTTTCTCCCTCGTCATCCAGCTCTTTGTCACAAAATAAGATAAATAATACATCTTCAGCAGTAAAAAACTGGTTTCTTCTCATGGTTGACCTACCTGGCTCACATGTTTGGCACCAACTGGTTTAGTATGTTCAATGTTAAGTCTATTGGTTTCTAATGAATAACTCCGAAATTATTTAGAATTCACTTCTGGTGTCCTTTTGACAGTAGAAAGAGCTCGTCAAGAGCTTTCATTTGATATATATATATCTCCATTTCGCCCAAAATGTCACTTACACCCTTCTGGTTCTCACCCCTCGTAATGTTTAAACTGTATTTACAATGTTTAAAGTGGCCGACAATAATAAATATTCTTATTAGGAATAAAACTGCCTCGTTTTTGAACTGTGCATAGCTGTAGCTGAATAATTAGGCCTACTACACTGCTGTATTTTAATGTTGGTCATTATGGTGGTACTTGGAGAGCCAAATATTTTCTGAGGTGGTACTTGGTGTAAAAAGTTTGAGAACCACTGATATAACGGATAAAATAAACAGTTCACTTAGTTTTGAGGTAACAGTCTTGTCTTTTACAGATGGTGAAGGAGGATATAGAGAACAGCAACAGTAAACAACAATGAAAAAACTTAAGCCCTGTTCACACCGCCAGTGACTTTTTTGCTGCTTGTCGCTTGTGGCTCGCAATTGAAGTTGCTAGTGGGCGTTGCCACTTCTGGTTGCCTAGTTACTACCTGTTGTAGGTAACGAATCGGTTTTCTTGCCGCTAAAATCAAACATTTTGGAGGGAAAAGACTTAAAGGTGGGGTAAGCGATTTCTGGTAGCCAATGTTGACATTTGAAATCACTAAAACAGACCCGCCCCTACCCCAAAAGTGTCTCGCCCCTATTATGATAGCTCCACCCCACACATACATACGCAACCCAGGCAACAGATTAGTTCTGTGAAACAAAGCAAAACTGCTGCTGCGTTCCATTCATGACGTATTGACACAAATTTCAAATGATTTTCAACGGTCGCCTTGTCGCGTCCAGTGTACTAGACAGACTTTAGCTGTTGCGGCGCAGACACGGTGTTACTCACCTATCGAGAAGAAACAAAGCAACCTCGGCGTCCGATCGCAGGCCTTCCGCTCCTTGAGTTCTCTCCAGCGCTGGAAAGCTGATCCGATATTTACACTGGTCCTACTTCTTGCCTTAAGCCTTCTTTTGTTCCGCAGATGTTTTCCTCTTTTGTTTTTTATCCGCCATCTCTATCTTTCTGTCGCTTGGCTCGGCTAATGTCCGTCCCGTGCACTGAACCCTCTCTCCTCCACATCATGAGTAGTTACGCCCCTTACTGCTGATTGGCTACAAGTTTGTTTTGCTATTCGGCCCGAATCAGTTTTCTAAAGTGTTTTTGAAAAATCGCTTACCCCACCTTTAATATAAATGGAATCAGTATATAAAGTGTTAAATATGAACGAGGAACAACGGGTGCTTTTTGCCATTGCGACTATATATCTTCGGCGAAAGCACAAACGCCAGTCTGTCTGGGTTCATGAAACTATTCAGGCTCGGAGTCAGCACGGCGAGTACCATCGGCTGGTGCAGGAGCTGCGGCTGGATGAAGTCCAGTTCCAGCAGTACTTCAGGCTGGACAGGACCCAGTTTGATGAGCTGCTGTGGAGGGTGGGTCCCCTGATCGCAAAGGAAAACACAAACTACCGCCAAGTAATTTCCCCCAGCGAACGGCTGGCAATTTGTTTACGGTGAGTAGCCTTTATTGAATATTTATATAATAGCTCTTCCATAGATCTATTTAAGTTGTAATGTAACGCATATACACACACATACATATACACAGTGGGGAAAATATTTATTTGATTTTGTAAGTTTGCCCACTTACAAGGAAATGAAGGGTCTGTAATTTTTATGGTAGGGTTATTTTAACGTATAGAGACAGAATACCAACCAAAAAATCCAGAAATAAAACATTACATAAAGGTTAGAAACTGATTTGAATTTCAGTGAGTGAAATAAGTATAACCTACCATTTTAACCAACCATAAAAATTCCAGACCCTTCATTTCTTTGTAAGTGGGCAAACTTACAAAATCAGCAGGGGATCAAATAAATATTTTCCCCACTGTACGGTCGAATTACACCAATATTTCCACTTGCCATTGTATAGCGTTTACTACAGTTGAACGACTGGATCAGGTAGACAGAGCTGGAGTGATTGAGTGGAGGCAGGGACTAATTTGCATATTCATGTATCCACGTATACTAAATGAAACAAGGGCGTAAAGCAGAGGTGTCCAATCCTGCTCCTGTAAGGCCTGTGTCCTGCAGAATTTAGTACCAACTCCAATTAAACACACCTGAACCAGGTAATCAAGGTCGTACTAGGCATATTGGACACTTCCTGGCAGGCGTGTTGGAGCTAAACGCTGCAGGACAGTGGCCCTCCCTAGCTCCACCCTAGCATAGAGTTACAGTCAAGCTATTTTAAGGCATGAAGGAAATATTTTCAGAGATTTGATTTTTAAATATGTAATTTTAATGTTCAAAAATGAGTTTTGAAGGATACAATTATTGACTAAAGGGGGACTTTAAAAGTATTTCCACAGGAGTTCAATACAGAACACACACACAAAAAAAGAAATCTCACATCTGCAGGACTTTTCGGGTGTGATGGCAAAATATTTTTTATTGCACTGATCAAAAATAAATGGATTTGAACATTTCCTTCAGAGTAAATACACAAATGATTTTGAAAATTGATTGCGCTGAAAAACACTAGAAGTTCTTTGCCGAATGAGTTTGCAAATGACACCTCAGGTCTCTTTTATACCTGAAACTCTTCTCACACTGAAGACATGTGAAAGGCTTCTCTCCAGTGTGAATCTTAATGTGAATGTTAAGGTTTCCTTTAAGTGTGAAACTCTTTCCACACTGAGGGCAGGGGAAAGGCTTCTCTCCAGTGTGAACTCTCACGTGGCTATCAAGAGATGATTTGTTTTTGAACGTTTTGCCACAGTGATGGCACATGTAAGGTTTCTCTCCAGTGTGAGTTATTAAATGATTCTTGAGGTGTTTCCTGTCTGTGAAACTCTCTCCACACTGCAGACATCCAAAACAGCTCTCTGTGGAGTGAGTACTCATATGGTTATTAAGGCTTAAATGATACCGGAAACTCTTTCCACACTGAGCACACACGAATGGCTTCTCTCCAGTGTGAGTTCTCATGTGGACATTAAGGGTGGGTTTATGTGTAAATCTCCTTCCACACTGTGGGCAGGGGTAAGGCTTCTCTCCATTGTGAATTCTTATGTGGCTTCTAAGGTTTCCTTTTCGAATAAAACCTTTTCCACACTCTTTGCATGTGAAAGGACTCTCTCCTGTGTGGATTCTCATGTGCATTTTAAGGCTTCCTCTTTGAGTGAAACTTACTCCACACTGCTGGCAGGTGAAAGGGTTCTCTCCTGTGTGGATTCTCATGTGGACTTTAAGGTTCCCTTTCTTGTTGAAACTTTTTCCACATTGTTGGCAGGTGTAGGGCTTCTCTCCAGTGTGAATTCTTATGTGGACTTTAAGGTTTCCTTGTTGATAAAACTTTTTTCCGCAATGTTGGCAGGTGTAAGGCTTCTCTCCAGTGTGAATTCTCATGTGGACTTTAAGGTTGTCTAGTTGATCAAATCTCTTTCCACAGTGAAAGCAGGTGAAATTACTTCCGGTTGCTTTCTTTCGAGCTCTTTTTTTTGACACCGTCTTTTCAGTCTGTGGGCAACAAGAAGATTTTTCTTCAGTTTTGAAGTCACAATATTCTTCATGCTGATCTTTGTCTTTTTTTTCATTCAGTTCTTGACTCTCCTCTTTCAGCGCCATCAGGTCTAGTGTGAATAAAGACAAATACAAGTTTACCCCAGTTTAATGGCACAAAGCAACAGACATCAAAACTTTTAGATATTTATAGCATCAAAACTAATTAAAAGCTTTGAACAGCCTTATTCCCCAGTACTTTTGCAAACTTCTATTGTGTTTTAATCCATCACGTTCATTAGGGCCTTTCGCACCGCTTTAGTTCCAGAACTAAATGTACAGTACTAAAGTACTGGGAAGATTTTGTCTGGTACTATGAAAAGGTTCCCGCGGTGCGAAAGGCCCTATTATGATCAGCAGGGTTTTAAATGGTGATAACCCGTGGTTAAGCACAATGTGAAAAAACTTAATATGGATGTCGTTATCTCAACATAAGTAATTGCAAGCCCAGACCTTCCAACCTTGGAATTTGTTTTTTTGAGTACCAACCATCATTGTGGCCGGAGGGGCTGGGGGGGTTATTGGGTGGGCGTGACTGATAACATAGATTGTCATGTGTCTACTTCAAATTTATTTTGAGAGAAGTATTATTTTTTTGGATTGGCCATTATTTAGTGTTATAAACACATATAATGTCCGTTTCATTCATACTGGATGCCTGAGGGTGCCCTCGTGCAGAAAATCCACATATGCGTTACAGAAGCAACAGAGGCAGAGCTCACGACGCTCCAGGAAATCCCTAATATCAGGGCTCCGGACTGCAACCAAATGGTCGTATTTTGCGACCATTTTTTCTACCTGTGTGACTAAATTTTGTGTGCGGTCGCACTGGCGCGACCACCGCATTGTTCAACTCATAAGCGCTGCCATTTCTGTTGCATATGAGAAACATCAACAAACGAAACTGAAAGCATAACGAAACTGTGCTACTCTTTTGAACTGCGCAGCGCATAGAGCGTTGAGCCTGGTTTATACTCGCCGTGTCAGCAGGAGAGCGAAAGTGCGAGCAGCAAAAATGTTGCGTATATTAAGGAAACGATGGATGGTTTTCAAGCTAAAGTCAAGTAAAAGACCGCTTCTTAAACCAGAGAAGGCTAACATGTTGGTATTCTTGTGGGGGAAAAAAACATGCAATCACTGTCACCGACAACAAGTTTAGTTTTACTTTTCTTTTTGTTTTAATTTTGAAAAGCTTGTTATCTTTGCCGTTTACCTCACGTTATGCTATGGAGGCGCTCTTATTTTATTTGATTCCTCAGTGTTTGCTAAACGTTCTGTAATTTATTAGTCGGTATACAATATGTGGTGTATGCCATGCCTCATCTTATTCGCTTTTGTTAATAAACATTTTGTAACCTAGTTTGTCTTTGTATCTTACCGTTTTATTGTTGTTGTGCTTTTCAATTAAGAATAACAATTAATCCACTTATAACATAACAAAAGAGGGACTCCCGCTCACAAAATTCAAATCACAAATAATACTACTGATGAAAAAGAACGTGTTGAATGTTAACCACTTTCGTTTCCATTTAACTATAACCTATGATAAAAGTTCATCAGCATGCATTGATTAATCCCATGTTGTAGCGCAAAAAAAAAAAAAAAAATATTATTGCGACCAAATCATGTGCTTGTGTGACCAACTGAGAAAGTTAGTCACAAACGAGCGACCAGTGGGAAGAATGATTCTGAAGCCCTGCTAATATGGACAAAAGCTTCCAGCTATAGCTGTAACTGAATAAAAGAAGACAGAAATGCTTTGAATGATGACATTCAAAGAGAACATTAAGACAATAAACTCTCTACTGCAACAATGTTTATCTGTGTTCTTAAAACCACCTCGGGTATTTTAATAATTAAGTATATTTATAATCCATTACTAATCGACATAGCCTTTATTGCAGTATAGAATATCTGCATCATTCTGTGACAAGCAGCCACATCAGATCAAGACGGAAGTTATTTTTAACATTCGTCTGATGTTGTGGGGTATATTATAATTAGGGTTGGGTATCGAAAACCAGTTCCATTTTATAACTGGTTCCAAATTTCCAAGAACCGGGTATTCTGCATGCATTCGGTGTTAAAGAGACAGCAGCCTAATGAACGCGCTGCCTGTCATTAATGTCAATCAAAGAACAAAAGAAAATAATTCACTCATCTTGACTGAATATCTTTAATAACTTTAATTAATAATCTATATTTTATTTTTTAAATGAAAACTGCAGTGTTTTTAAACTTTAATTATTGTTTCTGTACCTGAAATTTGGTTCAGTTGTATTTATATGCTAATTGATTTGTTTGTTCCTATTTTATTACTGACTGATTACTTGTCTTTAACACTTTAATATTTGAAAATTATATTCTAATTGTTTTTGCTGTGGTATTTTTGTTAAAAGCATAGACAAAAGTTCCTCTTGTAGGCCTAAGTGTTGTGTAGGCTGCTGATTTTTGCTCATGTTATTCAGCTGCAACAGAATGTTTTGTAAAAAGACAGTGCATTTTTTTTATTGGATTTTTTATCTTATCGGAATCGAAACTAGGAATCGATAAGAATTGGAATCGATAAGTAGAATCGGAACCAATAAAATTCAAACGATACCCAACCCTAGTTATAATGTTCTCTTTTGTTGGACAACAGGTTTAGAATAGCTCCGCATTACAAGTCATTACAAGGCAAGATGCTCGGTGTGTGTTGCTTTTTCAGATGCATGCGTTAGACTGTAAAAAAAAATATGGACGACGTGTCTCCACTTCCTTCCACTACTGAAGAGTGAAGCAAAATCGTCTCAGTATGGCCGCTGTCATCTTGCATCATTTGGAGCCAGAGTCTGCGCAGTAGAAATTCATTTGGAGTCAGAGTTTGCGTGGTAGTGATTGTGAGGTGGAGCCTCGCCCAAACTCCCGCAGACCATATCAAGATCACAAGCATGACACCACACTAGGGATGTCACGAGAACCGATACTATGGTATCAAGTCGGTATTTACATTTTAAAGTCCTGCCAGATCTTCAGTAGCGTAAGTACCGGTGGTACCGAAATTTGCGACTAGTGAGGCTGCAATTCTTCCGGAACTTACGGGGGCAGGCAAGAGCATATGCCTGGAAGTGTTTCAGATTATCCTCAAAGGGTAAAGAAGAAGAAAAAATATCTACAAGCACACTGAAGAACTACATGTAATGTAGAAGATGGCAACGAGTTAAGCTCCTCCCCGACTCATTGACAAGAAAGGTGCTAAGAGTCAAATATGGAAGTATTTCGCATTGGAGGCTGATGACCACGGCGTTATTATTGATGTTCTTAAAGGGGTCATATGATGCTTTTTTAAAGATCATTATTTTGTGTATTTGGTGTAACAGAATATGTTGACGGGGCGTGTTATAACGAGCCATTTTAGGGGGGCGTGGCAGAGTCTTAACTTTGATAAAGAATATCTCTTTGGTTTTGAGACTTCAGTCTTTGCAACTTCAGGGATCTTATCTATGCACAATCAGCTTGTAACTTGAAATCGCACCATATGACCCCTTTAAGCCAGTATGCAAACGATGCCTTCATGCATTTCAAACCAATGGAGGTAACACCTCAAATTTGGCGAAGCACCTAAAAGTCAGGCACCCCCGATCTTTTCAAAGAATTCAAGGTGAGTTTCAAGTCATATTAACATTATTTACAAAGGCGGCTGCTTTTAAATGAGCTATGAATATGATTGTGTGACATTTAAATTAAAGTGCGCAGCACTCGTGCTTTTAAAGCTATGTGCTCTCATTTAAATCTCACACAATCATGCACACAAAGTTACTGACTGTCTGACAGCTTACTGCTTGTTCATTCGTTGTGTATCCTTCCACGGATTATCCCTATTAACATTATTGGCTAATATTACAGGTTTAAATAATTATGTTAATGGTTTTAAAAAATATTTTCAGCCTGCCAGTATGCAAGTGAATGAATGCTTGCATTCAGTATAGGTGTGTGTGTGTGCGCGCGCATTTATGAGTGCACTTTAGGACCTGTAGCCTCCACTGTTTTATTAGTCATTGTCAAACAGGATATTTGATAACTAAAATCTCTTTTTAAACCAGTATCAGCCAGAGGAGGATGTACACCAGATGCAGAAACAAAGTCAGAAAACATTAACACAGCCAACCTTAACAGAAGCTTTTTAAAGGCACTCAAAATATGACAAAAACTCAAACGAAGCAAGGAAACTGAATAGGGCAGTTGCTGAATTTATATGCATGGATCAAATTCCTGTCTTCTCTGCAGAAAAACATGGATTTCAGCAAATGCTTCAGCAGTTTAACCCCAAGATACCAGTTACCAAGCAGAAATTACTTCATGTATACTAACCAGAAACCTAAGTTCAGAGCATCTCAAAGAAAAACTTTTATGCCTGAACAACAGATCTGTGGACAAGCAGAGCTGCAGACACATCCATGTCCATTACCATGCAGTACATAACCAAGTCCTGGGAGATGCACTCCTGGTGCTTGGGCTGTCGTGGCCTGAACTCTGAGCACACAGGGGAGAGTTTGAAGGAGGCCTTTGAGGAGAAAATACAGGAAGAATGGAAAATAGACATTTCTAGAATGGCAGGCATCACAACGGACAATGCGTCCAATAACCAAAAGGCCTTCAAAGATCATTACAAATGGATCCCATGTTTCGGTCACAATTTACACCTCGCAGTAAATAAAGCAGTTGTCATAGACAGAGTATCTGCAGCACTGTCATGGCTTCGCAAAACACAGTATCTGCATTCACAAGATCACCAAAGCTCTCACGCCAGCTCACCAAAAAACAAACAGACCTCTCACTTCCAGAACAAACTCATTCATGATGAGCCAACCAGCTGGAATTCAACATATGATATGGTCGAAAGATTTTTGGAGCAGCAGCAAGCTGTGTGTGCAGTGCTGGCAGAGGACTGAAAGAAATGGCACCTGATGCCTAAAGATACAGACATAATTTGAGACTTTAAAATAAGTCTACGGGCCACTGAGTCCATTTACAGATGCACTCAGTGGCGAGAAACACACAACCCTCTCATCTGTCTTACCACTGATGTGGAAGATACCGTCTTCTCTCGATGATGAAGACACTAGGGAAATGAAAGGTTCAATCAAACAAAACCTCAGGCAGTGTTATGATGTTGAGGAATTAAAGCTACTTTTGAACACTGCCACCTACCTAGACCCTAGGTTTAAAGATAGCTTTGTTACACTTGAGGCGGAGGTGAAAAAGGCTTCTGGATCAAATATGGGATTGAGGTGGAACCCATTTGCCAATAGGAGCAGAGGCATCAAGCCAAGACAGGCCATCTAAGAAGTCCAAGACTGATTTGAAACATCTCCTTTTGAGTATCCAAGGAGAAAAGAAAGTTCTTGACTTAATAGTTGGAGCCTAGCAAGTGGTTTTCATACTAAGCTATATGTTTACCTATTTATGTTTATACATTTATTTTAATTAATTTGCAATGCCAGTTATTTTAATTCAAAAGCACAGTATTGTTTTAAATACTTGAAGGCTATGTGCCACTGTTCATCAAGAAGCCATGACTTCAAATGGACGGGTAATGCAACGGTAAAGTTGATTGCGCATCTTTTTTTGTAAAAATACACTGTTTTTGAGAATTTAACATGTAAATGAAGCGTTCAGGTGCACTCTGAAAACAAAATAAAGGGAAAAGACAATCTGCTTCAAGTACAAAAAGGCACATTATACCAAAAACTGTTTGGACAGTGAACTCTGTTGTCATCAGTGTTCATACTTCTCTTTGTGAGCCGTGGAGTAGGCTAATTTATGTTTTGCAAATTTTGATGTTCACATTAGAGTGTGCATACTATCAACAAACTCCATCTTTTCACTGCGGAGGAAACAGAAGCTGCATCTGAAGTGGTATTAGATGTATTTACACAGACTGTTTAATGAAGCTGATGTGCCATAAATGCATTTACACCACAAAATTTCAAATGCATGAATAATTTTAGAAAAGTAATGTTTAAAATATTTTTGAACATACAAGTTAAAAATGTTGGGATAAATGCAATACTTTTAAATATGAAACCAAACCACCAATAAATTACGGTAAATTACTGTTTTATTGAGCGAGTCATTAGTCATTCATTCAAACGGCTGATTTATTCAGAATTGAGGCAGCTGTCTTTATGAAAGGGTTACTGAATCATTGAATCACTTGATTCGTTCAAAAAACCGTGGATTCATTCAGTATCCAAACACCGCCGTGTTGCTCGGAGACACAAAACAGTTCTGCTGTGGCTTTGATTGAAGCTTCGTCGGCAGACTTGAGCAAAAACAGTCAATATTGTATTACAAATTGCGAACTTTGTGTCTGAAGAACTTCCACGCCGACTACATGTTTACATGCGGATGTGAGCGTAAGTTTGCTGTCAAAACGGACCGGCTCGTGAGATGAGGTGTATTTGATTTGAAGCAACACCGATCGGTGTATGACATCAAAGTACTGTGAGTGAGGAATTCGAAAGCATGCGGAGCCATCTGGGACCTGTACCATGAAGCCGGATTAGCTGGCTAGCCATGTAAGTTTTAGTTTAGGTTGCACCAATCCTGGGTTTTAGGTACCATGAAAGTGGCTTGGTTTTTAGTGGTGTTCATCCAGTGGCGTGTCTAGAGCATTTTAAATGGGGGGGGGTCCAGTCGGGGGCACTGGCTCAAAAGAGGGTTGTGTTTGCGGAACAATGCGGGGGGGCACACGTCCAGTTTTGTGTGAGTGAAGGAAATCCGCTTGGAAGTGGAGAGATTCGTCCTCGCGCACATGGATCGCATAATATTATGCGCTCTCGACATTGTGCACCTGGGGTGGCCAGCCAAATTTCAGGGGGGGCCGGTGCCACCTCTGGCCCCCGTGTTCATCACCATAGTAACTTAAGCACCGCAGGTTATGTTCTGGTTTAGAGATCTCAACCCGAAATTTGACCAATCAGCTTCAAGCAAAGTGACACATGTCTGACGCAATAAAGCCACTCCCCCAGTTTCTCTTCCTACAAATTAAAGGACGCTACATAGTAAAACCCTTTTAAAGAAAAATTGTCTGATTTTTAGAGATGATTATTTTTTATAATTATTTTATATGATTTAATTATTATACCCTTAATCCGTTACACAAGCTAGCTTAGTTTTATAGTAATTATCAAGCTTTTATTTTAAATTCATATAAACATATAGATAATATGCAATATAAATAAGTTTTAGAATCAACAGCTTTAAACATGACTACGTATGAGCTTAGATTTTTAAGCGTTTTTATACCTATAACTATTATCAACTCTATAAACTAACTTTACAACTTTTACTTGCACTTATATGGAAAGATGTTTTCTTTAAGTTTCCCTCTTTCATGGAAAGATGCGATGCGGAAAACACAGATGGAATTGTGGAATCCATTTACTGTATACCGCGGAATGTCACGGAATTTGTCAAAGTTTGGATGAATTAATCAAAGGAAGGTCATTACACTTAAATCGTGATATGGACTAGTATCTGTAAAAATTAAGCCGCAAAAAGGCTATTTAAATATAAATCCTGCATGTTCTGTGTCTGTCTGAATCATAGTCTATGGTCTGAAT